TTTTGCAATATAATTTAAAATCAGGAAATTTGATGCTTTGTTCTTCTTGATCAAGATTACTTCTGTTACAAATTTGGAGTCTTTCATGGTTCCAGAAAATTTTAGGATTGTACTATCTATTTCTGTGAAAAATGCTATTGGAATTTTGATAGAAATTGCAATGAATCTGTAGACTTCTCTGGATCATATGAATATTTTGACAATATTACTTCTTCCAATCCACAAATAGGAAATATCTTCCTATTTGTCTTCTTCTTCAATTTCTTTCAATAACGTTTTATAGTTTTCAGTGTACAGATCTCTCAGCTCCATGGTTAAGTTTATTCCTAGGTATTTTACCCTTTTTGATGCTATGTAAATGGGATTTTCTTCTGAATCACTTTTTTGACAGCTCTTGTTGGTGTACAAAAACATAACTAATTTTTATGTTGATTTTATATCCTGTATTTTTTCCGAATATATTAGTTCTAACAGTTTTATGACGGAGTCTTTAGAGTTTTCTATATATAATGTCATGTCATCTGGTAGCAGAGATAATTTTGTATCTTCCTTTTTTATTCGGATGCCTTTTGCTCCTTTTGCTTACCTAACTGCTCTGGCTAAAACTTCCAGTATTTTGCATACAATTGGCGAGGGTGAAAGTGGTATGCTCCTCTGGTTAGAGAAAAATGTTAGACTTGTAAACCATTGAGTATTATGTTAGCTGTACAACTGTGATATACGGCTTATGTCGTGTTAAAGTTCATTCCTTCTATATTTTTTTGAGTTTTTTTTAATCATTAAATGATGTTAAATTTGGTCAAATTCTTTTTTTATCTACTGAGATGATCATATAATGCTTTTTCCTCATTCTGTCAATGTGGTATATAACATGTGTTGATTTGCATATGTTGAACTATCAGTGCATCCCAAAGATAAATCTCATTTGATCATAATGTATGATCCTTTTAATGTGCTGTTTAATTTGGTTTGCTAGCATTTTGCTGAGAATGTTTCAATCTATGTCCATTAGGAATAGATTGTAATTTTCTTTTCTTATAGTGTCCTTGTCTTGTTGTGGTATAAGGGAGATGGTAACCTTGTAATATGAGTTTAGAAGTGTTTCTTTCTTTTAAATTTATTAGAAGGGTTTAAGAATGATTGGTATTAATTCATCTTTAAATATTTTGTAGTATTCAGCAGTGAAGTTATCAGGTCTTGGACTTCCGTTTAATGAGAAATGTTGATTACTGATTCAAATTCTTGGATTTGCCAAGCCTCTAAAATCACATGAGCAAATTCTTTAAAATAAATATCTCTCTATAAATATAAGTTTTCTTGATTCTGTTTCTCTGTAGAACCTTGACTAATAAAGAGGGTAAGTTAAAATGCCATAAAACTCTTTTACTGAAATTTAGCAGCTTCCTTCTTTATTACACACTCCTGTGGGTGTTACTAAGTTGTTGGTTAGATTCCAAAATTACATTCCAGAGTTCCAAAAAAGTCAATTCTGAAAGATTCTGCCAGTTCAATCACTGTTATAGATGACAGATTTTTTTTTAGTTTTCTATTCTGTCATTTTTTATTATATCACTACAACTTATTCTTGAATGGTTCATCTTAAATGATTCAGATAGAGTATACAGATATACACACAAACATAAAGATAAATAAAGCAAATGTAATAAAATGTTAACACTTGAAAAAACTGGATGTAGAGTAACTGAGAAGTCTTTCTACTATTTTTGCAGCATTTCTGTAACACTGAAATTGTATCAAAATAAAACAACTTTTAAAATGTAGGTGTCCTGGAGACTGGTTTAAGATAGACTAAATACATGCCAGAGCCTTCACAGCTCATTTCAAGTGCCAAGAAATTATAGAAGAGTAAATCTCCATATCTTCTAAAAATGTATTTAAAAAAAAAAAAGTATTATCCTCGGGTTTCTAGAAATGGGGAATCCTTCCATGAAAAAAGACAGATGGGAAAAAAGAGAAGAAACACATGTGTAGAACATGCACAGAAGAAAACTCCTAAAAAGATGGGAGCTGGTCCAAAGGTTTACTAAGCCTACAATATTCACTATTTAGACAGTGAATATTGGAGGGATCTTAGAAAAACCAAGAGTGATTGGTTTGAATATTGAAGTAACAGCATATAGGGTAATCTCTCTTTGGCCCAGACAAAGCAACAGAGATGCCTGTTGCCAGGTAAAGCAGAGAGAGCTGATGGTGGGTCAAAGGGGTAAAACAGGACCTTCAGTAGTCTACCTATATTCAGGAGAAATAGGGAGTTTGTACTACTCAGAAGAAGCTATTGGCTCACCCTATCCAGGATCTGTCCCACCAATTCTCCTTCTCCTTTTTGGTGAAAAGCTAAAGTAAGCAGAGAACTCATAAACAGACTAACAATGAATCAAAAAAACACAGTTGATCACCTAATCATAAAAATCAAAAAGAAGAGCCAACAATAAAAGAGAAGAGAAAGAAATCCAACAAAAGAAAACTTGTATCCTATAAAACATAGGCTTAATAAACAGTAGAGCATTTTAGAATATCTATAATCATATAGCCTTCATTCACAAAAATATAAAAGGCTATTTATTTGTAAAAGAATCAATATAATATGGATATTTTTAATTTGACCATCAAACTTGTTTAAATGAATAGGCTATCAAAATCATCAAAAATAAATATTAAATTAATAAGCTTCAAACCTTAACTAAGAATTTTACATAGGATGCATCCTGAACTTTACAAAATGGTGTATAAGAGAAGTGAATAAACTAAGAAACAAGCAAGGAAAAAACAAATGCAAAGAATGTATTAGTCTACTATTGGGCAGCTATAACAAAATATCACAGACTAGGTAACTTATCATAAATTAATTTTCTTAGAGTTCTAGGAACTACAAGTTTAAAGTAAAGGTTCTGGCTGATTTGGATTCTAGTGAGGGCTCGCCTTCTGGCTTGTGGACTGATACCTCATTGCTAGATCCTCACAAGGCTTTTCTTTGGTGTATATTGCAAGAAAAGAGGAAGTGAGCTTTCTGCTGTCTTTTCTTATAAGGGCATTAATCCTACCAGATCAGGATACCACCTTTATGAACTCCTTTATTCCTAATTACTTTCTTAGGGGTCCCACTCCAAATTTATCCATACTGGGGGTCAGACTTTCAACATTTGAATTTAGGGGAGACTCAAACATTCAGCTTATAACAATCAACAAAAGCAAAAGCTAGTTCTTCAAAAAGAGAAAACAAAAATAAATCACATTAGAAATGTAACTATAGAAACAAAAATTTTAAAGTTACTAGAGGATACAATGTATATATTTAACAAAAAAAAAGTGCAAAAGGCAGATAAGGAGAGCATAAGAAAATAGAAGGTTATGTTAATCTCATTTAGGAAAGTAGATTTTTAAAATCCTAACTAAAACAGTAAAACAAATCGGTGGACATATTAAGAGAAAAATTCACCATGGTCAAATAGGTAATAAGAGTAAGAATTAATTAGTCCAAGAATGGTCCCCTGCAAGCTAGCCCCCCAAAGATAAAATGTCCTACGAAGCTCCATAGAAACTGACTATGGCCCAGACCCTAAAGCAATCAATTTTGGTCAACCACAGTGTCTGGACCCCAGTGCCACCTCCAACCCTTATCATGCCAGAGAAGGAGCCAGTGCTAGCCTAATCACGTTTATTGATATGGTTAATCCTACTCTTTTCCTGTACTATCTTAAACCTGTAACCATAAATCCCTCCAACCCTTATCATGCCAAACAAGGAGCCAGTGCTAGCCTAATCATATGTATTGATATGGTCAATCCTACTCTTTTCCTGCACTAACTTAAAGCTGTAACCATAAGGCCTGGATGCAGTTAGGCTACAACATCCCTTCAACCTTGAATATCCATGCTTTCAGAATAGCACTGGAATAAAAGTTCTTCCACGTCATACTGTATTCCAGTGCCTGATCATGCCAGGGGATGAGGTGGTATTTCTCTAATTATTAATTAAAAGCTATGCAGGCCAACAGTCAAGTCCCCTCTAGTGGACCTTGTCATATGGCCTTTAAAAATTACTATGCTGTGTCTGTTTCACAGTGGGATGATTTCACAGAGACCCACTCACTGAGCTATTGATCCTTGTCCCTGTGAGTTTTCTCCAGTAAATTAAATACTGTTTCAACAGGTCTCATATGTGCAGGTCTTGACTACTTGCCTTGTTTGCATGACATGCCATATTATGGATTAAAGAAGGAAAACCATATGATCATCTTAATATGTGCCCCAAAAGCATGAGAAATTCAACATTTCTTTGCAATTCTTACAATAAAAAATAAAGTCTAATCTTAACCTAGCACCATTTATAAACACAAATTCTAGACGGACAAAACACTAATTTTAAAAGTATAAAATATGTACAATATTGAAGTAGAAATGTATCTAAAACACAAAAGTCATAAAAGAAAGACTGGCAAATTGAATATGCCAAAATTAAATCTGTGTAACTAAAGGCACACTGAAAAACTAAAGCCATGAAGTAAACTGAAAGGCAAGTAGCTAGAATGAAATATTTTCAGTATACAGACCTATGGGTTAATACCCAGAATACATAGTTTGAAGTGAATGTACTCAGATGAAGAGCTTCAGGAAAGCAAAGAAGCTGTAAGGTTGCTTTCTTGTTTGTATTTTTTAAAACATTTCTAATAACATTAAACTTATTTAACATATTAGCAAAAGTTTGACAAATAGTATCTAATAACATAAAAAGTACAAAATAGATTTGTGATTTCTCACATATTAATACAAAGTGTAACATTACATATAAAATATTTCATAAGGAAAGAAAGGTGAAAGCAATGAAAGAAGACTATGGTTGGGTCTAGTAGCAAATAAATAAACAAAGAAGTAAAGATGATCCACATTATAGTATATTCTACCATTAACACCACCAGAAATATATTCCCCAAATTAAAAATATAGAGAAAAGTGATAATGGCTGGGGCTCTAGTAATGTACCTCTAAAGCTGTGGGAGAGCCCAGGAAACTCGTTGCATGGTCCATGTATACAGTGGTATGGAGCACGTCAATTTTTTCTAAAAGAAAGAAATATTAAATTTTAAGTTTAGATGAATAATTACAAAATCACAGGGTACTTATACGATCCAATTTTTTAAAAATCCAGTTTTAAAAATAAGCATTGAGTCACATTCTTATAAAATAGGCAAATGCTCTTCCTTCATTATAAAAAGTCTAAACTGATATTTTCCCCCTGAACTTTCAGAAAAGTGGCAATAAGAGTACTTTGGTTTAGGCTCATCTGAGGTTGGCTTTTAATAAAGATATCAAAATTGAAGAGGTCTATGTTCAGAATTCATTAATCACCTATTATCTCAAAATTTAGAATGTCTGACTGAAAGAAGGCACCCAAAAACCAACCCATTTGGCCTTAACACACACCTCTTATCTTCTAGTAGATTTTTTAAAACTGATAAAGTAGAAAAAGAAATATACCGTAATAGGTTAAAACAAACCAAACATCCACTTTACACAGGTAAAACCTTCACAAATACCAACTGAACCCATAGCTAAAACTGCAGTGGTGAGGTTTTCAGTGACATTGTCAGTCACATAATACAAACAAAATAGTCAACTATTTATACCTATGGTAAGCTCTCTAGAAATGTAATCCAAGAAGCATTAACCTTTACTTGGTGTTATATTTAAGACTTGCATGTTTTATTTTTCAGATACATAATATTTTAATGGAAATATTAGTTACTATATGGTAATGCTATGGTACTATTCACATAGAATCTTTTACACTAAAGATTTGCCATTTTCCAAAGAGGAGCTGTGGTTCTGCTTTAGGCATTTATAGAAATTAAACACATTATCAAATATTAATATGGGGGAGATGACACAGGACATCAGTTAAGTTAACAGACAGTCAAGTTAACTCTGTATATTTAGGAATTGCCTTCTCCTTCAAGGTATTTGCACTAGAAAGCTAAGTCTGCCCTGATTAATATTACAGTAGTACAGGATTGAATGATCAGAACCTTGGCAACACCTTTATTCAAAACTGTTAACAAATACTGCTAGTGTCAAGTCCATGTGATTTAGCTATTATAAATTTATTATTATAAGGAAAAACAAGTATAGTCAGTCATCATTGAAAATGCTTCAACTATTGCTTCTTAATGGGAAAGACTGAAACTAACATTTGGTTTACCATACAATTAATATAATATCTTTTGTCTTGAAATGTCCTTAATTTTACTCATTAGAACAAGATTTTGAAAGACTTAAGGGCATTTTACAGCAGCATCCAGCTTTCCTATCAAAGACACAGCATCTTAAATATTGTATATGCCTTTTTTCTCTTTTATTAAGCTAGATATTAGCTTCAGAGTTTGTGAAAATGGAGAAAAGAACCAATAAAAGGATTCTATAAATTGTTTTTGGCAGAATAGCAAGTATCCAAACAAAAGCAGGAAAACCACTATTATCAGCTGCACTGTGTGCCCTCCTCTCCAAAAACATTCACATGCTAACATTCTAATTCCCAGTAACTCAGAATATTACTCCATTTAGAGTTAGGGTCTTTAAAGAGATAATTAAATTAAAATTAGGTAAATAGGGCGGGCCTTAATCCAATATAACTAGTGTCCTTAGAAGAAGAGAAAATTTGGACACAGACACATACAGAGGAAAGATGATGTGAGGACAGGGAGAAGATGGCTTCTACAAGCCAAGAAGAGAGGTTAGATTCTTCCCTCACAGCTCTCAGAAGGGCCCTATCCTGTCAACAGGGTTGATCTCAGACTTGATCTCAGGCTTCTAGCTTCCAGAACTGTGAGAAAATTAATTTCTAGGTTTGTTTGTTCATTTTTGAGACAGAGCCTTGCTCTTGTTGCCCAGGCTGGAGTGCAATGGTGTCATCTCGGCTCTCCGCAAACTCTGCCTCCCAGGTTCAAGTGATTCTTCTGCCTCAGCCTCCTGAGTAGCTAGGATTACAGACATGTGCCCCCAAGTTTGACTAATTTTGTATTTTTAGTAGAGATGGGGTTTCTTCATGTTACTCAGGTTGGTCTTGAACTCCTGACCTCAGGTGATCCACCCGCCTTGGCCTCCTAAAGTGCTGGGATTACATGTGTGAGATACCGCACCCAAATTTCTGCTTTTTAAGCCAGTCAGTCTGGTGTACCTTGTTACAGAAGTCCTAGTAAATTAATACAACCACTTTATTCTTCCAAAATTTTGTTTGTTTTTGAGATAAGGTCTCTCTCTGTTGCCCAGGCCTGAGTGCAGGGGTGGGATCATTGCTCACCACAGCCTCCAACTCCTGGGCTCAAGCAATCCTCCCACTCAGCCTCCTGAGTAGCTAGGAATACAGCCTTGTGCCACCATGTCCATCTAATTTATTTTTAGTGAAGACAGAGTCTCACTGTGTCACCCAGACTGGTGGTGTTCTAAAATTTACATACACAGTTGACCCTTGATAACACAGGTTTGAACTTCATGAGTCCACTTACATGAGGATTTTCTTCTACCTTCATCATCCCTGACAGCAAAACCAGCCCTCAGTCTACTCAACATAAAGGCAGTGAGGATGAAGGAAGACCTTTATGATGTTCTAATTCCACTTAATAAATGGTAAATATATTTTCTCTTATGATTTTCTTAGTAACATTTTCATTTTCCTAGGTTTATTGTAAGAATACAGTATGCAATAGATATACAAAATATGTTAACTGACTGTTTATGTTATTGTTAAGGGTTTTGATCAACAATAGGCTACTAGTGAAGTTTTTACGAAGGCAAGCAATTCCTGCAGTTTGGAACTTTGAGGAGGACAGATGAGTAAGAAGTTTATTTTCTATTAAACAAAGGACTTCCCTATCTGCACCTTTTCAAGAGACTTCAGTAAAGACTTAAATTAATAATTTTTTTATTTTTCTGTGTGTATATATATATATATATATATATATATATATATACACACATGTATATGTTATACATATGGTAAAGTTCAACCAAGACTATATATTTTAAATATAGCATATTATCAGGTAGAGAATAGACTTGTAGAAAAAGATAATGTTTTGGTGTTGGGTGGGAACAAAGCTTTGAAAAACAGTGGACTCATTCTGCATATGTTTTAGAAGCTGACTATGCAGGACTCGCTGACATATTGTATGTAGGAATAAAAGGAATGAGATTAACCAAGTTTGACTACTAAGATTTCAACCTAAATAATCAGATAAAAGTTAGTGACATTTATGTTTTCAGAAAAACTAAATGATTGACTGTGTTGGACATTACTTAGAATTTTCAGGAATGAAGACAGAGAAGTTGCCATTGGATGTCAACATGGAAGTCACCAATGACGTGACAAGAGCAATGCTAGATTGGTAGTAAAGATTAAATCCTCATTGAAGTATGCTAAAGAGTAATTATAAAGTAAGGAAATGGACAAAACAATTTTAGGTAATTCTCTGAGTAGTTGTTTTTGTTTATTCATTTGTATGCTTCTGTGGAAGTGAGGAAATACAAAGAAAAGAGCAAGCTGGAAAACATTGTGGGGTCACAGCAAGTTATGACATATATTTATACAGGTGGTGGAGGAGAAGGAGCCCAGTATTAAAAAAATAAATGACTTACTTCATGTTTTTGTTCCAAGATTAGATCTATTCCATTCATAATTCACCTGTGCCTTTGTTCCTCCAAACAGAAAGCCACCTTCTAAGAAATTCCTTGATATGTTACATGAGCTAAAATTGGTCAAATTTTTCTGTTCTTTAGTTTTGCTATGGAAAACCGTTCTAATTGTTTTAATTTAAAAGCGTTATTGTGAGATATAATTCACATTTCACAAAATTCACCCATTTAAAGAGTACAGTCATTTCTTTTTTTTTTTTTTTTTAATTTTTTATTGGATTTTAGGTTTTGGGGTACATGAGCAGAGCATGCAAGACAGTTGCGTAGGAACACACATGGCAGTGTGCTTTTCTTTCCTTCTCCCCTTCACCCACATTTGGCATTTCTCCCCAGGCTATCCCTCCCCACCTCCCCCTCCCACTGGCCCTCCCCTTTTCCCCCCAATAGACCCCAGTGTTTAGTACTCCCCTTTCTGTGTCCATGTGTTCTCGTTTTTCATCACCCGCCTATGAGTGAGAATATACTGTGTTTCATTTTCTGTTCTTGTGTCAGTTTGCTGAGGATGACGTTCTCCAGATTCATCCATGTCCCTACAAACGACACAAACTCATCATTTCTGATTGCTGCATAATATTCCACGGTGTATATGTGCCACATTTTTCCAATCCAGTCTATTATCAATGGGCATTTGGGTTGATTCCAGGTCTTTGCTATTGTAAACAGTGCTGCAATGAACATTCGTGTACATATGTCCTTATAGTAGAACGATTTATAGTCTTTTGGATATATACCCAGTAATGGGATTGCTGGGTCAAATGGAATTTCTATTTCTAAGGCCTTGAGGAATCGCCACACTGTCTTCCACAATGGTTGAACTAATTTACACTCCCACCAACAGTGTAAAAGTGTTCCTTTTTCTCCACATCCTCTCCAGCATCTGTTGTCTCCAGATTTTTTAATGATCGCCATTCTAACTGGCGTGAGATGGTATCTCAATGTGGTTTTGATTTGCATCTCTCTGATGACCAGTGACGATGAACATTTTTTCATATGATTGTTGGCCTCATATATGTCTTCTTTCATAAAGTGTCTGTTCATATCCTTTGCCCACTTTTGAATGGGCTTGTTTGTTTTTTTCCTGTAAATCCGTTTGAGTTCTTTGTAAATTCTGGATATCAGCCCTTTGTCAGATGGGTAAACTGCAAAAACTTTTTCCCATTTTGTTGGTTGCCGATCCACTCTAGTGACAGTTTCTTTTGCCGTGCAGAAGCTGTGGAGTTTCATTAGGTCCCATTTGTCTATTTTGGCTTTTGTTGCCAATGCTTTTGGTGTTTTGTTCATGAAGTCCTTGCCTACTCCTATGTCCTGGATAGTTTTGCCTAGATTTCCTTCTAGGGTTTTTATGGTGCCAGGTCTTATGTTTAAGTCTTTA